AATTAACTCTACTATAGAAACACTACATTTCACAACCTTACTAGTGTTCAAAAAACTTGAAATTTTCTGATATTCCTTCGAACTTCAGAAAAGAGCAGAGCATAGCAACTTTTGTAGCAAATTGGTTCCGTTCCGCGATTGTTTAAGAGGCCATTTATTCGCAGAACTGTTTCAATTTCAGTTCTCATCAAAATTCCTTCCTTCCAAAATTTCTTGATTGAAAATATGAACGATATAAATGTTTAAATAGAACATCATCTCCTTGAAAGCTACGCAGAAGTTAATGGCGTACATGGGGAACATTATGGTGACCATCGCATTAGCAAGACAGCGGAAAAGCATGGACAGGCTGCAAATCCCCTTCCAAACTAAAGAGCCTTCAAGGAACTTCCGAAATTGTACTTCTGAAACTGCATTCGCGGCACACGCTGAAAAGCCCTGCTCCTTTTCACCATTTTGAAGGATCACACTTAGAATAGGACTAGCAGGGCTATAACAACTATCACACCATCGAATGCGCTGGAAAGGCTAGAAGAGGGCATCAATAGTTATTGACATCGATAAGTATTTTAATATGGTTGACCGGCACATCTATGACCGCGAATAGCATCGCAGCGTCCTTGGACAGATCGCTTGTCACAAAAAAAAATCTAGTGAAGTGCTACCATTAAACGGTTCCCGTAATTTGAACAAGTCAAAGCAAATACCCGTTGATAAAGAAATTAAGAAAAATACACCATCTCTTGACTTCTAGGAACTTATTCAACAGAAAAGTGACAATGTGAAAAAGATCATGTTGAAATGAAAGCTGAATAAAAAGGCAATCAGTAAAATCCACATTGCATCAAACAGACGAGAGGGGAGGAAACGGATCCTTCTTACTTACGACCAACTTTTGATGTTGATGTGAAATATATCCTTTGATTTTCTTCTGAAAAGCAAAGCAATTAAACAAATGAGCAGCTTTTACATAAACTTATCCTGAAGAAATTCATTCAGAGTAAAAGTTAATCATCGAAATAATTTGTAAGCAAGCACGCTCATACCTCCGCAATGAGATTCGCAACAATACACTCCAGCTCGTCCTCATCAACGTCGGTTACACCAAGATACTGTATGATAATATAGAATGCTTTGAGAGGGATTTGATTTCCCCCGATGATCGTCGTTCTGAAATAACCAGTAACAAAATACAAACAATCAACAACAATACGCTACAAGAAACAGAAAACTTTTTTTCACAAATCTGCTAAGGAACGAAACATTCACAGAACAAATAATTTTCAACTAGACCAGTTTCGAATCTTCAACTTTTCGACTGTAGAAATAAGCTAACACTCAAGGAACCAAAATTCACTACAGCTGTTTTCAGATTCCCACGGTTATCAATGACTGCTAATGAGCAAAGAACGAAAATATGACATTATATTAGCACACCCCATAATAAAATAAACAGGAAATCTTCCTGACGGAGGAGAGGCATTACCTGCTCGCTGCTGAACTTAACCAGTGCATTGTTCCTACCTGTGTAACTGCCTCGCTGTCGCAACTCAGTAATTCATCTACTTGAAAGCTACGCAGAAGTTAATGGCGTACATGGGGAACATTATGGTGACCACCGCATTAGCAAGACAGCGGAAATGAAGAGAATGCAAGAAATGTTTTCTAATCACTACTTCAACAAGACAACGAAATTGGGCAAAATAGCGCTGAAATAGCAAAAACTCTTATATGGTCGTGATTGAACTGCATGTTTATCTACGTGCCAGCGATGACGCTTCCAAAACTTGGTAACCTTCGCTTCGCTTCGGACTTTACTTTCTTTCAAGTTTTTATCACTAAAACCTTCGAAACAGGAGAGAAATTACAGGACCCGTAGGAGCGTAGGGACAAGCGCGACCATTTTTGGACTTTTGCTGAACTAGAAAATCGACTTGACTGCGCTCCCGCAAATTCTATAGGAACACGGATTCGGCACTATTTACCCTTTACTGCCCCACTCCTCGAGAACTGAGCCGGATTTTATCGAAATTGGTCATTGACTGTGAATTTGGCCAGAAACTTGCCTTCGGGGGTAATTCGACCCGTAGAACACGAATATCACATTTGTTTACCGCTAGAACGCCTGGCGCTCGCGTCAGAAGCGCCGGCGCCAAAAGGCGCCAGAACATCTCGGATCCCCAAATTCGCTGGAAAGTTGTCCTCAGAGGTATTTTGACCCGTAGAATATGATTATCACATCAGTTTGTTACGAGTGAACCTGTAGCCTGCGCTACGAGCGCCCGCGCAAAACTGTTGTGATAGCGCCGGCGCCTGTGGCGCGGGCGCCAAGCGTTTTCGCTCTAAACCGGTATTATATTCGTGATCTACGGGTCAAATTACCCCTGAAGGCAAGTTTCTAGCAAAATCCACAGTCATGGACGAATTTCGATCAAAATCCGGCTCAGTTCTTGAGGAGTGGGGCAGTAAAGGGTAAATAGTGCCGGTAATTGCTATATATGTGTAGGCAGAGCACAAATTTATTCAACTGGTAATCTATTAAGAGCACTTTATAGGTCAAGCATGCGCTCAAACTTGGTTGGAAATCTGACTAGACACAGAATGCGTGACACGTCGAAGAAGAACCGAACAAGACCCTTTTTAATTACCGTGTATTCTGTAGCGCTGTCATTATGGCCTGTGTCGCAATCATTATTTCTGCAACGCGTAGAAGCTGCGTTGGAAAAAATGCATTTTAAGATTGTAATACATCCTCCACACTCCCATACTCAAGCATCACCCCATGGCCATCCAAGAAGGCAAAAAGAATAAGTGAAAATCTTAAATCTAAACAAAAGAAATCTCAATTCAAACATAACAAAATAAAAAATAATAAAATAAGAAAAAAAAACGAATCGACTGACATTCGCTTAAACAGGGTGCGGAATGTGATCGAACGTAACTTCTCTAGCATCAAGAAGATACCGCACTGTATAAAGAAGTGCTCATTTGCTTCCAGTGCTTGGTCCAACTTTGCCAAGTTTCCCTCTTTTACTGCCTCCACGACCTATAACACCGGAAAGATTGTGTATGAACAATTGGTTCAGCTCAAAAGCGAGACTTACGTCACGGAACTCGTCCAATTGGTATTTATGCAGTAACTGAGCAGTAGGCATATGACCAAGGAACATTTTGACAGGAATGAGATATATAAGCACCAGTCGTTTGTTTGAAAGACATTCGGCAGGGCAATTGCGAAACGCATAGGATAATGATTTCTCGGCTGCAAACAAAAACCTTTGAAATCTCGCCCTGCGCATGCAGAACCGCTTAACCATGTTACGTTCACCCAAAATTCTAAGCAGAGAAACGCTCTCACGACATACAGCAAAAGTTCAATCTAGGGAAAATTGATAGGCAACCAACCCAGTGGCAAATCTGCGTCGAACATAGCCTTCCGACCAAGAAAATAATTGTAAGTGACCTTATCAGCCATGGAAAATGACTGATATAGCGTTCCAGAATTGTCTATAGCTCGAATCAATGGTTTCAGCAAATTCAATTTGTTAATCTGTAACGGCGAAAGGAAGCTCGCCAAAACTAGGCAGAGAATTCGAGAAGATAAGGAAACACAAAAAGGGAGCAAAGAACTGCAATACCTTAAAATAGATCCGAAACAACTGATTTGTCATGTTGAGAATAGCAATTTTCTTTGTTGTCGACGGATCTGCTCTTCTGAAACAATTACGAATATCAATCTTTCAACTGACAAGCAGTGGGCGCAACAAAGGGCATCGATGAGCCAACAATTTATCAAATCTTCAGGTGGCTCTAGCTCACGAATTCCTGAGTTAAAGCTTTGAAAAGACCAAAGAAGATTGAGTGGTAGTCAAAGCATTCGCTTGATGAAGATTTAGGTTGAAATGGGGATTGCCTTCTTCACAATATTCCAAATAAATCTCTTCAAAAGTCAACTGACGACAAAAAACACTCAAAAATACGGTTAGAGTAACTTACACATCAGATGTGCAAGTCCTATATGCTTCCATGATGTAGTTGGCCGACTGCTCGTAATACGATGAGATATTTTCGACTTCGTCGTCCTTTTCGGTCAACTCATCAGCCTAAGGCAACAAAAATTAGTGATAAAAGAAGACAGGAAAACAATTTACCAGCGTTTTCACACACCATTTTGGCAACATTCAAAAGATCACGGCATAGCTGATGGAAAATGGGCATAAACCAATTCACTTCCTTCTTCTTTTGCAACACTTCTTTGTTGAAGGTTTGCATAATCTAGAAAAGTTGAACATGTAAATGTTCGAAATACTGCAAATATTGAAAATTGGAAAACGTGAGAGAAAAGAGAAAAACCCGAATACTTTTGAATGAGGAACGTCTTTTTATACGAATTAGGTTGAGTTACAAGTAAGATCCGCTTTCAACCAATATTCAAAACTTGTTCATTTTCCCTAGAAACGAACTTATCAAAATGCAATTCTCTGCACTCTGCAACTGACCTTCGACTGCACGCAATTGAGTGGACACCTGTGGGTCAGAATTGTGCGCATGCTCGCTTTCGATTTTCTCTTATGTCGAGTGGCGCGATGGTTTCAGCGTCTACCCAGTGATGTTATGTGTTCTCAAAACAGTCAGGTATTCAGGAGCAGGTTGAAGAAAATTGATTTACTTCGAGTTTTGGGTCTTGATGATGCTTTGTGAAGTTAATTTCATTGCAGTATTTGCCATTTTGGCTCGCTTTTTTTGCTATCGTCGACACCTGCGAGCATCAACCCTGTGTCACGATCGTCAGTGAAGTTCCTTCTTCAGCAGTATTACGGCTTGTCTTCTAACAAGGGTCCTCCCACAGTATTTGTCTCCAGGCTGCAGTTTTTAGTTCTTTCTAAACCAGTTTTCTCTGTTGACTTCGTCCGTTTGTAGCTACATAGTGTGTTCTTTTCCTCTTGTACGGTTAGCTTTCTCTCTTCCAGTGGTGTATGTTTCGGGTAAATCGGTGTACCGACCGACGATACCACTTTAATTCTACTCTTTGATTTGCACGCACACTCTGTTCCCCTCACTATGCTCTGGTGGGTCGGAAATCAGATTGTTAGGGGTAGGGAATACCTAACATCCGAAAATCTGGTTTCGTGGTTCGACTTGCATGCCCTTGTGCTCTTGTCGAGTGGCGTTATCCCTAGCGCCATCCACCACCACTTCATTGATCTTATCTCATGAATTCGGAAAAGTTCAGAACAAGTGTGTGCTGTGCTTGCTCATACCTTGTCGGTTATTTGCTCAGGTAGCACCTTAAGGTTGGAAGTGTATCAACCGCTAGCATCCTAGGATTTCCTTATTAGCCTGTTTCCTCCCGCTTTCTTCACCTTATTGTGAGCGCCTCTGAGTACAAAATCGCCTAATTGAAGCAACCGTCGGTCTGTCAGTTTTGATTTATAATTTTGTTTACTTTGTGTTTTCGTTTCTGCTGCTCTTTTATTGCTGCCTGGTATTAGCCTTTTAGTTTCTAGAAATATTGCAATGGATTTTTTTTCTGCTCAACAATGATATTCCCTTTTTCCCTCATCTGGGCACACTCTTGTGAGTGTATTTTAAATAAATAAATAAATAAAATATACCCAAGAAAATACGGCCGCGGAGCTCGCTTCGACTTGTTCAGGTGAAGCATGCAAGAAACGGAGAACAACCCTTCTGGTGAGATCTGGCATACGGAGTTCCTGTCGGAGGTTGAGGAGCGTTCATCAGCGGAGCCTCCAAATGAAGCTCACACACTTAGCTCTTCTCATATCTAGCAACGCCTTGCTAAGACTTCCGAAGTAACCATTTCTGAATAATGGATCTTCGACGTAGCCATATCGTCGAGTAAATATGCTTGAAAAGGAGGCTTCAGTCATAGAGAGAAGTACAGATGCTTCAATTCATCATACGAAAAGACCGTCAGGGTTCTGACGAGAACGGCATAAACATATTTAGGCAAGAATGGAAAGGGTTCGAAAAAACGGGATATTACCTGTGACTCAGCCTAAGACCTAAACCGTCGTGAAAGAATAGGGCTAACTCTAGTATGATATACCTGCGTGTGGGTAGTGTAAGCAGCTTCGTAGTTGTGGGAGACATTGATATGGTAAATTACTTGTAGGTGCAAACACACAACTTGATCGAAGGCTTCATCGTCAATATATGAACGACTTTTCCGGGATCCATACGCTTCAATCTGGAACAAACATTCTTAGAACAACCTAATTTTGGTTGGTAACGAGAAATATTTTCAGTAAAGTCGAACAAAACAAGGGCGCGCAAATGTGGGCTCGGGGGTGGGGGCAGCCGCTGCTCGGGCGTTGCGGCAACAAGAAATTCGTGCAGCCAGGGGATATTACTAGCCAATTCAGGGCATGGCTGGGGTACGGTTTACGGACTACTTGATTTTTCCTCAATGGTCCTGCCGCGATGGCTAGAGCACAGACGATTAGAGAACGGGTGAATGCCCTAGGACTAAGCCTTGGAGAGGAGAGGGACCCGCCAAGAAAAGAGCGCAGAGGAACGCAGAAGGACTGACTCCAGTAGTCCGTCGACCGGGGGTGAGGGCAGTCACTTAGCATGCGTGAGAAGCTGGAATGTTCCGTGAGAAGCTGGAATGTTCGAGTTACACTACATCGCTGAGCCGCGCGCGACGACTGCCCCCTAGCCACATTGCGCCCACAACAACATAGAAACTATTTGTGAGTGATTATGGAGGATAACTGCAAGCAATCCATGAAGGAGGATATGAATATTAGGTATACTAATCTGAATCTAGGATCAAACGCATGAGCGCTCAGCAGACTTCGGTCGCGGTCGCATACTTGGAAAATCACATAAAATAGAAGCAGCCCTATCTGTGAAGGGCACTAATTGCGGATTAGCTAAGCGCTGCCATGAGAAACTACCCAAGTCCCGATAATGGACTTTTCAAAAAGAGCCTAGCACATTACCCATTCATGGCCGAGGCTTTTTGGAGCAAGCGAGAAACTGACTATGGGTCCGATCGTCTAGTCAATTATCTAGCTGGCATGGATTTCGCTTTCGCATCTCTCCGATCAGACCCTCTCTAGCGCCCTTAAGAATCGCTCATGAGGAAATCCTAGGAAGTAGAGCACACATATCGCTTCTGACTTCCTAGGGAGTGAGAACGAATAATTAGGTAAAAGCTTAGATGAAACGTGGTAGAAAAATAATATAAAGGCGGTGAAGACTGAAGATGTGTTGCTATTATGATGTTGAGGGTTCTGCACGTGATAGTAACTTCCATTCAGCAATTCGCCGTCATGCTTGGCTTGCACTTCTTCCCAACCCTTCTGAGTGAAAAACTGAGCTAGAGACCAGTGTTAGGAAGATGTCTACGGAATTCACCGCACGCGTAATAACACATTGACGACCGCGCGCGTTCTGACTTTTTTCACATGGGAGCGGCGCGATCTTGCGAGCGCGAGTGTCCCACCTCAGCAGCAGCTAGATGGATTAACACGTTGACGACATCGCGCGTTTTGGCTTTTTTGGCCGCGTGGGACCAGCGCGATTTTGCAGGCGCCGCCGCCTCACCTCATAACCGTGGATTTTGAGCTGTAAATACGCAAAACTTGTATGCGACAGAATGTTTCCATAATGTTCAATGTGTTCAACTTATCGGGAGTTACAGTAATGGAAGTTCGACCAAAATAACGTGTTATGGCTACGAGAAGGCAAATTTTACTTACTTTCGCTTTAGTGGTTCCAAAATTATTTTGGACGTGGTTGTTTCAGTAAAACACATATCTTGCCATGCGACTAGGTTTGTATTCACTTCTATTATTCTTTTTTATCTACATGTTCACGTTAATGAAAGAAAATGAGGAATGAACTGAACAGATATTTTCGTGAGGTCTGGAAAACCTCTGCCAAACCGAGGAATATTCGGTCATTCTATGAGATAAGCGAAAAAAGTTATGGATGTGACATACATGGCTGCCGCAATGTCGCCAAGGTGTAAAGAGGGTGAGTCTGCAAAGCATGAATGGTACAAAATCACTTCAGTAATGATTATTGAGGGAATAGAAAAAAATTATTAGCTCCCACTGTGTGGACATCAGAAGCATTTTGCTTCGACTATTAGTAAAAACACATCTCCTACCATGTTGACAGTTGGATACTCCTCTTATTCACATTTCTTTTGGAATAAAAAAAAATAGAAAAAGACTACGAACTGGAAATTTTTGTAAGACTTAGGAATCTTTGCTATACTAGAGCATATCTTACAACGTTAGTTGATCATTTAAGTTATTCGAAAACATGATCAATGCAATAAAGAGCATGAGAGCTCAGAAGAACTATGCAGGGGCGAGTTGCAAAAAAGGGTGCTCTCGCCTATGGCGCACATCATCAAACTTTTCGTCGCAAAGGATGCCGCTGTTATTGGGAGTTTTACGGCAAATATTCCTTAGATGTCCCCCATAAGCAGAAGCAGGCCCTCCTTCACTGCCCACCGTCTCCAGAATATGACGTCATCTGCCATCACCGTCGAGCTCAAGGAGGCCTACCGTAATCGCTCCAACCTGAAGCTGCTAATTTCTTCAATCAGTGTGATGGCGGTCTAATTCCGTTTTGAATGTAAAGGGCAGTGACTCCTTTTTGACCCCCTCTCTAATATATACAAGGGAAAGGATTCGCGCATGGTCAAAAAATGGTATGGTTTCGGGCCATAAATGGCCGCAGTGGTACAATGTTAAGAATTCGCACAAATTTTGCAAACAAGTGGACACATTAGGAATTCAAATAGTGCACGCTACGATACAACTTCATCGCACATGGTCTTCCTGCGAACATCGTACATTATGTTCGCTTTGGATGTTTCAGTGTTCAATGGTAAGTACAGCCACGCGGGGTTTCAAGAAATAAAATCGATGTAATTTCATTAATCTCCATTAGATCAGACCTTATAAAAGATGAATATATGAAGGAAAGATATGCACCTACGTGAAGAAATGGAAGGCTACTATGAGCACCATTAATCGCCAACAGTTTCGCAGCATCGGTCGCACTCGTCCACGTTGCCGTATCGATAAGTCGATTCAGCATGTTGAAATATTCGGCCACGCTCCCAAACGACATCCTGGAAATGTTACTGTAGTATGACATGACAAGAAGTTCTTACGAAGACCAAAAAAAGCGATACGAATCAAACTATGCTAGAAGTATGAGAAAGTTGTTCATGTGCGGACTTCCCTGAAAGGAACAGTACGTGGAAAATCGATACACAAAATTTCATAAAAAAAGTCCTCTTTCGATATGCTCTTTCGAAAACAGTAAAATTCTTACATTCAATCTTGGACCGCATTCATACTTAGCGTTTTGAGAGAATAGAAGAGCCGGCAAAAAATTCTGAGGCATATCTTGATACGAGGATTAGGAGGACATGAGAGTAGTAGTAGAAAAGGCGAAGAAGGGTCAAGATGTCTTGCGTGGAACGGGGAGGATTTGCGGAGGGGACGTGTCGATATGCGATCCTGTGAAGCGTTGGCCGATCGCAAAATCATTTCTGTTCTCTCATCTATCCTTTTGATTCACTGTTTGATTTATAGTTACCTGCAGTACTTCTTTTTGCTGAAACCTAAGAAACACTGCAGAATGTGTGAGACAAGAGGAACTACCTATCGAGACCCGTACGACAAGGGCAGCGCATTTGTGACTTTTCAATCGCAGTCATCGATCGATGACCACAAGACTGCAAACGCCGCAAACTATGACGCCGCCCAACGCTGACTGTGAACTGATCAAAATGAAGTTACATTAACTGAACAAAAGCTTCTGGTATGCGGAGTTGAGAAGCGGCCTTCAAGGCTTTCAAGACCATTAAAAATATTCCCCTGAACACACACTTAGAGCCACTGCACCGTGGTTGACCTCCCCTTTTACCTTCTTGGGAAGACTAGCATTGTGGTTCTAGGTGTGCGTTCACTAGGAACAGAAAGCGACTTTTTCGCGTTTCGCAGCGCGAAAGATTTTTCCCTGCAGGAACCTCAGGTCCACCGCTGATCAGGAGTGGACCTGGAGCTCCTGCAGCGGAAAATGTTTCGAAACGCGAAAAAGTCGCTTCTGTCCTAGTGGCCGATGTCAGACTTTGCGATTGGAGCGATTTTGCACCAATTGCAGGAGCGACGGGAGATTTACACCGCCGACCACCGATAATTCGGCGCCATCAGTTCGTAAATCCCCCGTCGCTCGCAGCTTTGGTGCAAATCGCCCCGGGGGGCGGGGGGGACAGTCTGATCGAGGCCACAAGGACTAAGCCTAACACAGAGAGACGAGTTCCGGAGCGAATTAGAACTGCTTACGCAGCTCGGATTCCCTCTTCTCCTCTAAAGCTTAACCCCAAAACTGAAAGTTCGTCTGAGCCCCCCCCCCCGGAGTCACATCGCGCCTCTAGTTATATCATACATACCATACATAACGAATAGGAAACATAAGAAAGAGGGAAACAGAACAATCCCCATTACCAATTTTGGCACTATTCAACTATTACAACCCCAAAATCTCAAAATTTTATTTTTCGTCGAAACTTTGTCTATAGGGGTAATTCGGTGCCCTGATTACGAAAATGACATTCATTTTTGGCGCTGGCGCCATCTGGCGCCAGTTGGCGCCACCTTGTCACGACACATGTTTTCACCAAATTCGGTGTAAACTTCTGTATAGGGGTTATTTGATGTCCTGATTACGAATATGACATTCGTTTTTGACATTACGCTGTTTACCGCATACTTCCCGCTTTTCTGGGCTCTCTCACCTATACATAGCGCCTTGGGACTAAGCTTAGGGGATAGGGAGACTCGGAATGAGTGAATCAGGCACCGTGTGACGAAGATGGAGCGTGTGAGATCACAGGTAGAGGGCTCACTCACTGATATCTTTCCTCTCTCCTAAAGCTTAGTCCTGATCGCGATCTAGTCACTAGGAGGGCGCAGACGAAGAGATTAAAGCGCTAAATGGAGCTAGCGCCAAGAATGAATGTCATATTCGTAATCTGGACACCAAATTACCCCTACCCAGAAGTTTACATCGAGTTTGGTGAAAACAACTGTCGTGACAAGGTGACGCCACTGGCGCCAGATGGCGCCACCGTTGAAAATGAATGTCATTTTCGTAATCAGGGCACCGAATTACCCCTATAGACAAAGTTTCGACGAAAAATAAAATTTTGAGATTTTGGGGTTGTAATAGTTGAATAGTGCCATTTTTTAGACCCAGCACTGATGATTGGAGGTGAAAGAGACTTCGATGCAAACAAAATGCACTCCATACCGATATTAGGTTCATTTAAATGCGGTCACACTGCAAAGATTCGAAACAGAAAAAAAAACTGACAAAACAAACAGCAGTCGATGAATTCAACCAAGGTCTAGCAAAATTTCACCATGGAGCATCAATTCCTAATGGAGCGCGGATTTTGCCGCCATCAGTTCTTTCGTCCGTTGATCTTTTGGCGTGAAGCACCGTTGGCAAATAGCTTGTGAATAAGGAGTTTCGACCATTAGGCGGCTCAGCAATTCTTGTAATCGGTACTTACGTATTTACTTCAGCAGAACCGCCTAATCGCCATCGCCGAATCGCGTCCAGTGCGCGTGCATAGTTCGTCTTCCGACCGTACCGTAAGGGTTGCACAGCATCGGATGCGTATCGATCGTCAGACTTGCCTAACTTATTCGACGATCGATACGTATCTGAAGCTGTGCGACCGTTACGATCGTAACTATCGCACGACCGACTAAGCATGCGCCCATATAGCTGCACAGGGGAGGGGGGGGCCAAAAAATCACTTTGCCCATGGCGCACATCATCAAATTTTTCGTCGCACAGGATGTGCAGTTTGTTGATGAATGTTTTACACGCAGAATATTCCTAGGTGTTCCCCCCCCCCAAAGCAGAAGCAGGCCCTCCTTCACTGCCCCACCGTCTTCAGAATATGACGTCATCTGCCGTCACCGTCGAGCTCAACGAGGCTTACCGTAATCGCTCCGGCCTGAAGCTGCTACATAATTTCTTCAACCGATTAACTGGTGAATAGCTTCCCAGAGACACTAGCTGTGACTGTGCAAGGCCGCTTTTGACCAGCGTTCACAGAGTCAGTCGTGATATTTTTTCCTCAGTAATGGCGGAGGACACTCCACCAATGCTTCGTGGTAGGTCATTAGCCACTTATTCCTTCGGAGGTATTTGTAGTTCGTGACGTTATCGCAAGACTGGGGGTGAGAGTCGTCTAGCCTAGGCGAGGGGATCTCTGGGGAAAGAGTTGCTCATGCATCTGGAGTCGCTGCAAACCATTCGCTTAGTCTTAAAAATGGCCTTAAAGGTTCTCTGTAGTTTCAAAACATTGAAGTCGCGCAGTCGCAGTGCCAACCCTTTCCTCACCCCACTCCCCCTCTAGTTGTCAGTTTTTGTAAAGGCGTTGCGTAGAAAGACCTGACAGTGGGGAAATAGATTTATTGTAATAACAGTACATAAGTGATAATCTACAATTCTTCACTGAAATCGCTCTCCGTAGAGCTTATTTGGGATTAGGGTGCTGGCTGTGAGGATGCTGTAGAATCTGACAATTCGCACAATTCTTCCTCGTGCAATGGATGGTATCGCTTCAAAGCAGTCAGGCCTTATCGCCTGGGAATCAGTATCAACATTGTGTATAGATTTCTTTCGCTGCTGAATGTCAGGGGATACGCTTCTAAGAGAAACTTCATAGGTCTTGGCGTTATCAAAAAGACTCTTCGTTCGCTAGCATCTGCCCATTCAATATTTTTCACGAGCCTAAAATAATGGGCACAATAAAGATACGAAGGGTTGTGTGCCAAAAACCAATGGTAACAATAAAATCGAAACGGCGCACATGTCGTTAGGGGGGGGGCATTGAAGTGAGTGAGCTACTTACAGAACTCAAGTAAGCCTTAGGAGGGAAAGGATTGTGGAGGAGGACGTGAGCAAAACTTTGTTCTCCTTGCCAATTTTCCCATCTCCTGAGCTTAGATCCTAGAGTCATCAACCAGTGGTTGTCAAATGCCCTGTTTTGCATGTCCCTCCTAAGGACATGAGAGCCATCGAAACTACTATTACATTGGCATGCCGATCCAGTTGCGATTGCGATGTTCACAACAAAGGGGTCGTATTCAAGTTTTTACTTGAGGGGTGGAGTCGTATTAGAGATTGGTGAGGGTCGAGAGATTGTAAATAGAGTGCTAGTATTTTGAAAGATGAATGGATTGTATCCACCCTCCCCCTCCTTCGACGGTTTGAGGGTGAGAAGTGGGCGGGAGTTGAGTTGTGTCGACTTCGTAGTCCTTGCGACTAGACTCTAGAGAAACTACAGAAGCAACCCTGATGAGTGGGCGCGGGAATGGGGCTCGTCATAGCTGAATGGTGATGCGTGAGGGGTTTACCGCAAGCCCCCCCCCCTAAAGCGCAGCGGATGGTTTTCCAAAAATTTCCGCAGTTGGAACAATGAACGGTGAGCTTGTGTCGAACCGCCTTTTCTGCTCGCCCCAAGTGAAGAACACATACTGGTCGCGTGCGCTATGTACGCGTAAAATCGATACCTATTTCAAAGCAAGTGCAGTTACAACAAATGTCTTAATAGGCTAAGATGTAAAGACAACCTTGGTGGGCAAAGAGTTGGTACGTACGTGAATAGAGACTGTGGTAACCGCACTGAACTGTCGCTATACGCCCCAGACTGCCCGTCCCGCCCCTGCGCGACCAATTGTTCCTCTGCCGCGTGCGGTCACGACGCGCTGCTCCACTCACTTTCTGCATTTCTCTCTCTTGAATGCGGAGTTCGTTTTCCATGGCTTTTATGTATTTTATATAAAGTTTGTAAATTTCCTGAAAAAAAAAAGCAAGCTGGGATTTTATTCGCAACTGTACAATCCTTATGGACATACTTCTAATTCTAGTCTTCGTTTTCTTGTTTCAACTATTTTAGCTAGTAATCGTTTTTCATGAATACGCCGTTCAACGGGAGAAGCCCTAAACAAAAGATAACGAGAACTCGAACTGTGGGGATAGGCTTTGCAACACACTTATCATGAATCCATATTCTGAATCCAATTGAAGGGTGAAGAACTTATTGGAATGGGGTCTTGATTTTACGG